TAGTCCAACCCCTCCATTTATCTTGAATGATTCTGTTAGAGTGGATTCACGGCTGTAGATTACTAGCTGGGGTTCTTTCTACTTATTCTTTTTAGCTGAAAGTCCTCCACTGCTGGATATCCTCCCGCAAGGTTCGCCACAACAACCGGTCCTGTGCTGCCAGCATACAACGACTTCCCGGGAATATGGGGTTCCTTACAGTACGCTATATAAAAAAACTAACTTCTACCCGTGGCTCTACTCAAGCAAACGTTGTTTTAACTCAGAACCAGTATTTTTTGTATGACAGATACTGTAAAAGTTCGGACATGATTTGAGATTTGATGACTCTACACTTTACAACTTCGCATTTTGTAACTCACGCAAACGAACAAACGGGTCACCTAATGGTAAGTGCGTACCGCCGCTCATCGAAACTTGACTGAATGAGGATAATGGAGGTCCACCCCCCCTCCCTCCCCACAAAATTGGACATTGATGATGATTGTCTTTTGACGTTGAAAGTAGTCATGGGTGGCGGTAGTCACTAAAATCAGGTAACCCATCAGCCACCTATGTCATTAAAAAAATTTACAGATCGATGTTTAACAGGAGATACTTTGCCACCACAGATATTTCTCCCCCAAAAACCCTCTAATACACGTTTTAAATTCAATATCTGATCGGTGTGCGGAATTTCGACAGCTCTTCACTCGAGGGCCTCTCAAGCCGACGTTTAATTCCGCATGACGTCATCCACGGAAATAACCGAACATTGCCGAGTGGAGACGAAGTATGTGTATGTGGAAAGTCGTTTTATAATATTACTGTACTAGTTAGCTGTTTTTTCCTTACTTATATATTTTTTCAGTATAGGGGAGCTAACAAACGAGCAAACCCTCACTTTATCCATACTAATATTATAAATGCGAAAGTGTGTCCGTCTGTTACCTCTTCACGCTTAAACTGCTGAACCGATTCAGATGAAATGTGGTATAGAGATAGTCCGAGTTTCCTAGGAGGAAAGGACATTAGGTAGTTTTTATACCCGAAATCAACCTATTTTGCATATTTAACAATAAATCTAGTTATTTTATTATTATTATGTAGGTGTGGTAGCTATATATAACATAAAAGTTCATAATTATAAATGATAAATCACAGTTGACTGTGATTTCATTCCACGCCTAGTATTTCCGAACGGAGACGACTTTCAAATAGGGGACTCAAAGTGACACTCTTGTGACTCTTGAGGTGTCCATGGGCGGTGGTGGTCACTAACCATGAGGCGACCCATCTGCTCGTTAACCAGGGGTTAACGAGCAGATAAAAAACATATTAGTGTTAAATATCCATGTTTCCTCTAATGTGTTTCAATTGGAAGATTACTAACAAGGATGCTGGTGTTCATTTCATAATCAACTTGATCCCGTACGAAATATCTATTTTTAAACTACAACGTTTGAAACACAAGAAGGTAATGAGTGATTTTAATTAAAATAGTTCTACAAGCGAAATATGTGGGATTTAGATTGAGGTGGAGTGCCGGCCAGGACACTCGCCGCCTCAAAGGAGATCGTGCGGTACCCCCTTACGATCCTGATGGCCAGCACTCGCTGCGGTCGTCGCAGTAGTGCGACGTTGCTGGCCTTCAGGGCCCCGCCCATACTGGGGCCCCATAAAAAGCCATGTACCGCACAACCCCCGAGTAGAGTCTCCTGCAGGAGTCATCGGGTCCCTTCATGTTGGGCAGCAGCCGCGCCAGTGCACGCGCTGCCCCAATCAACTTGGGGACCAGACCTCAGAAATGATGTCTGAAGTCCCATCGGCCATCGACTACGAGCCCCAGATACCTAATCGAGGGCTCGATGCCGATGCGAGTGCCCCCTACTATGAGGCTAGATCCCTCAGGTGTCCTCAGGTTTCCCCGGGGATCGGGCCTGATTAGGCATGGTGTAAATTCGGGGAGGACCTGAAATAACATGGTCTGGGTCCTCCCAGAGTAGGACATCTGAGGCCGGCCGTCGGGGTGGTTTTTAAGGGAATCACCACAAATAAATTGTTTATACTTATATTGTATAAATAATATATATATGTATTTATATGTAGGTCTATGTATAATTTTATAATGTATATTTATTTATTTTTACACTACGTTAGCTTTAATACACCTAAAATAATTGAAAAATATCTTGTATTGAAAAATGTTCTTCAGTCAACGTACTCTGATGCCATATGTTAATGTACACCATGAAAACAACACATTGAGCAATGTAGATACAGCTAAATTCCTAGGGCTCACAATAGATAAACGCTTAAATTGGAAAGTTCATACGGAAGAACTCTCCAAGCGAATCAGTTCTGCGTCATAGGCCTTATTCAAACTGGCTCCGGTTTTAAATAAACATGCTCTACTAACAGCGTATCACGGTATGGTAGGATCAATCTTAAGATTTGGCATTATATTTTGGGGTAACTCAACGAATAGAGAACTCGTCTTTAAATCTCAATAATAAACCCTTTTAAAAAAAAAGTTGAACCGACTTCAAACAACACCGACAAAGAGCACTAAAAATTAAAAAATAATTACAAATCTAAGTAAAAACCTATAATAAGTACCCTCAATGTAACAGGTAACATTATAATACCAATAGTCCCTTCTAGTCTGTTTGAAAACGGTGCCAAGCCAAATAGGTGCTTGATAGGCATGGTAGAATGTAGCGCGGCAGCTGCAACAGTCTTCATGCTGCGCAAAACGTACTGAACGAGCTAAAGTGGACGCACATCTCCAATTATATTATTATTTTGAATACTTTAATAAGTAGTTGATAAGTTTGCGCCCGTAATTGATCTGGTTGGTCTTTATTAATTAACAAAATCTTCGATGTTTCATTAGAATTATTTTGAATTCTTAATTTTTCATTGTGCTAATATAAAGCTGACATAGACCAGTATTACTTATTGTGCATCGAGCTTGGCACCGACTTCAAACAGACTAGAAGGGACTATTGGTATTATAATGTTACCTGTTACATTGAGGGTACTTATTATAGGTTCAACTTTTTTTTTAAAAGGGTTTATTTTACAATTTTTAGTGTAGGATATGTTTGTAATGAGTAGATACCGTAGATACGTACCGTAATGTATAGTAACAAACTGTAGTTTGTAAGATTATATTAAATATTATATTAAATTACTGCTGGACATAGGCCTCTCCTTAGAAAGGAGGTTTTGGCCTACTATGTAGGACTATCGTTGTATTTATATGACTGGCAATAGAATCGATAATTACAAATTTAAAATCAGATTTTCCGTTGAAAAGATATTTTGTTTTGTTGTATGACTAGGATATAAGGCAAATAAAACATTTTTAGTTTCAGTACACATTTCTTGTAGAGTAGTAAAGTAGGTACATGTACATATTGTACATGCCTATGTTCACGGCTAATGTAATCAATTTGAACAAAAAATATTAGAAACTCCTTAAATTAATTTAATTTATCTTTAGTGAGACTACTCAACAAATATGCTCAATATTTTATAGAAGGAGTTCCATCTAGAAGGGTTAATACTGGTATGTTAGAAATTAACCTAGTTGACCCACACAAAATTTAAGAGTTTTTTCCAGAACTATTTTAATAAATTAAGTATAAAATTACTTACAAACGGAATGCGATGCCATCCATAGCTACAAAACGTCTATCCGAATTTTTTTAACAAGATAGAATACAAAATTTCAACCTTTTCTTCTTAATACAACGAAAATTACTGTGGTGACATAAATACTACAAGTTCTCTGCGCATCACATCGCGCAGTCTCTGACGGTTGCCATGGTTTGTTTGGCTAAAGAAATACTCGTAGCTAAAACACGTTGTCGGGGCTGTCAAATTCCCAATAATTGTGAGGGTTTCCCTCGATTTCTCTAGGATCCCATCATCAGATCCTGAATTGGTGGTAATGGGACCAATTCGGGAGCATACCCTTTCGATTACAAAAATAATTTTGAAAATCGGTCCACAATTGACGGAGAAATCGCGTAACAAACATACATAAAAAAAAAAATACAGACGAATTGAGAACCTCCTCTTTTGTGTCTTACAAACACTTGACATCTGTAGACCATTTTTTAAAGACAACAGTATCTTGACTGTTCCGGTACTTCATATATTTGAAACAGCCGTCTTCGTTAAGTCTAATCCGAATATATTTAAACGTCTTCAAGACAAAACGATACGGAACAGACGAGATAATGATAGGTTACGCATGCGAAAGGTTCAAACTGCACTAATGAGCAAAAGTATTTTTTGCATGGCACCTAGAATTTACAACAGAATACCTGGGGCCATAAGAGAACTCCATCTACATTTATTTAAAGTTCACTTTAAAAAATATCTCATTAATAAATGTTTTTACACGATTGATGAGTTTTTAAATGACCGTGATACTAGTGTGCTTTGACGGTGACATTTCCATATTATCAATAATTTAACTAAACACCTTTATTTGACCATTTAATTATTGTTCTTCTAATTGCCTGATATTTGACCAATAAAACTGATTGTCATTAATTTATGTATTGCATGTTCTGTAGGTATCAGTTTCTGACGAAAAGTTTTGCACGCCTACCCGGCAGGATATGATGAACCTTTGTTAATTGAATTGTCCAACCCTGTACTCATGTTCATGCAAATAAATGATTATTATTATTATTATTAGACTACCTGGACTACCTAGACACCTGTTTCGTCTTATCTACTGTCGATTTGCCCATTCAAAGGTTGCCTGTAAGAGATTGCTATTAGCGACGGCAGATGGATATCCACAATGGGCGGCCGCCCAGTCAACAAAAAGAAAAAAAAGACCCTTAACGATTGCCACAGATGTTCGTATCGCACGGAGGGGTCTCAATGTGTTAAGAATGGTCACCTGTCCACAGACGAACCTGGATAGGATTGTTTAACTTTGCAATATGCTAACCTACTAAGTTACCACTTAGCCTCCAGCCTCTCTTTTTTTTTAGTTCCTATAATCCCGGAGTTCCTGTACGACATTCGCCACCCGGACGCACCTCTCTCAATGTCGTTGGAAGACATCACCCTGCCCCCGCCGTCGCCGACCCCTTACTGCCCATGCCTCGAGAAAAACAACACGCTTGCTGTGGAAAATGTAACACATAGTGAGTATTTACCTTTACTTTTTATCTACTTAAAAGGGATTTCGAACTTCACTCGAGCTTGCTGTTTTTTTTTTTGAAAACCTGAGAACTTTTCCCCCACCGCTAAAAGTAAAAACATTCTGTAACTTTTATTAATTCTATCATCTAATCGTTGAAAAGCAATAAGTCCCCACGACGCTGAAGTAAATCCTCATTTAAAATCATGAACTCCCATAATATCGTCCCTTCAAATCTGGAATCCACTTTATATTCTAAACTCCTGAAAGCCAGTATAACTATACGACTAAATAATCCCGTTTCTCTTTCTTTATCCACAGTCAACATAACAGCAGAGAGAGAGCTACGTCACCAAGAGCTGATCCATGAGACGGTGGCTGTGGGCGTGATGTTTGCAAGCAAAGCCTTGGTGCAGCTCCTTGCTAATCCCTTCGTAGGACCACTGACACACAAGTAAGTACTCCATATCATACCAATCCAAGTGAACTAGTCTTGTACCTACTAGAGACTTTATACGTATGATTGCAAGTCAAAGGACTGGGCATGAAAGAGAGATTTGAGCTTTGCCGACTCTTCAAAAATCTGTACGCTATTTTCTTGAATACGGAAGGAAAGAAAATTCCTATGGACACAATTGACTTTAAGACTTTCAATTGCACTAAATTTCTGTTCGTAATAATCAACTTGCCTATTTTCTTTTGCTATGTAACGAATCTTTTGAGATATTTTTCACATTAAATTCGTTGCGAATTCTTCACTTTTGAACTACTAGAGTCTCTATAGTAAGAACAACCTTTCTATTGCACTGAACAGTTACACCATTCTATTAAGTTGCATTTAAAAGAAATCCCCAATCAATTTGGTCAGATTTAACAGTACACACTAGTCACTTTGTCATTGATGAACTATAATTTTATAAGTTTTTTTCAGGATTGGCTACAGCGTGCCCATGTTCACCGGCTTCATCCTCATGTTTCTGTCCACCTTGAGTAAGTGCAGCTGCTTTTAAATAGGCTGTTACAGAACTTTATCTTCAAAGTCGACTGTACGGATAGCGTAATGGTTTAAGCGGTCACCTCGCTGCTTCGTCCTGCGCTTGTGGTTTCGATCCCGAAATGGGACAACACTTTGTGTGATCCACAAATTTTTGTAAAGTCCCCGCCCCCGACACAGGTTATATTCTTAGTGCGGGAGATGCCTTTTAAAAATCCAAAATTAATGGTTTTGTTTTTTTTTTAACACAAATATATTAGACGAGGAGTATTCAATTTAAGAACACACATATTAAACAAAATTGAATTGATTTGGTTACTAAAACGTTTTTAAAACTCCCTAAATTCATGTTCTCATTAAGAATACGCAATGTCACCATCCTGTTCATTCCGTGGGTGTCGTAAAAGCCGACTAAGGGAGCAAACTACTCAGGACAACAGTACTGCCAAGAGAAGGAAAACTTGAAAAAACCATATATCAACCCGTCTGGCCATCGTGGTATAGTAGGCCAAAACCTCATTTCTAAGGAGAGGCCTACGTCCAGCAGTGGACTATTAAGACTGTTGATGATCATAAATAACAAGATAATGTACAATTGTAGAAAATATACATTTTAATACTATACTTTTTTCAGTCTTCGCATTCGGCCGGTCGTACTCCGTTCTATTCATAGCTCGAGCCCTGCAAGGCATAGGTTCCTCCTGCTCTTCTGTATCCGGCATGGGTATGCTGGCGGAACGATATCCGGATGATAAGGTAATTTTAGTTGATATGAATATGTTTTTAGAACGTAATAGGTGATATGTTCTTTGAACCTATTTCTTAAAATAATAGTAACTTTATGCATTTCATACGACTGGTTGGTAAACTACAAGCCAGATCCAGGTGTAATATACACACTAGTGCTACTTTCACTTTCAGGCTCCCTCTCATGTATTTATTCCTCACCTTGTCCATCGTTCCTAGTCACACCAAACATCCATTTTATTATTTGCATTTCAGCTACCTACAGGCAAACTTTGGCTGGCACCATCACATAGGATCATAATCATGCCTGGACTATCGTGATCATAATTATTTAAATGTAATTAATTACTTCGTTCTTCCCAGGAACGCGGTAATGCAATGGGAATAGCCCTCGGAGGTCTGGCTTTAGGAGTACTCATCGGTCCTCCGTTTGGAGGTCTCATGTACGAGTTCGTCGGTAAGACGGCTCCATTCCTGATGCTGTCAGCCTTGGCACTTGCTGATGGATGTAAGTATTCTGCTTCATAAATCATAATCATTTTAACATGATCTGAATCATGCTCAAAAAATAAACCTCATAATTGTTTTTTGGTAGTCACACTCAAAATACCTAACTCTAGAAAATTAACCTACATTTTTACCTCATGCACTTGCACACTGGTCATTCAATCATTGTCTCTTATTCTTGCAGTGCTGCAACTGATGATCTTACAGCCAGGAGTAGTTCGCCAGGAGTCAGACCCACCATCGCTTAAAGCGCTCGTCACTGACCCATACATCCTAGTCGCTGCCGGTAGGTTTTAGTCTTTATTATAATATAATTACGTAGCAAGATTGGTTGGTTGGCAGAAATAGGATTTTATTCTTAATAGTGTTGTGCCAAAATATATTTGTCTAGATACAATCACGCTTAAGCCATCCCGACTTTACATTATTCATAACTGTATTTTGTGCCTGTTCGAGCGCCTGCTCGGTTTTTATGGCAACACTCGAGGACATTATATGCTCCGTCAATAGTCATAAGGACCTTTTCATATGTTAATTTTTTCTACTGTCGGTTAACTGAAAATCTGTTCTACCATCGCTCAAAACACACCATGTAAGTACTTGAAGTTTTCCTTAAAAAGACTACATTTCCCCAACAGTGCCTAAAGCGAAGCCTAACCGGTGTTAAACAAATTCTTCTGTTTCATTTCATCGGGTCAGTGGAGTTACCAATGGATTCCTCCACCTACTTTGGAGGGGGGGGCAGGTTCAGGTGTTCATGGGTGGTGGTGGCGGTATTCACTGAAAATCAGCTGATCCATTTGTACTATAAAAAAAAAGATTTTGTTCCGTTATTAAACTCCACAAGAGAGTTGACGTCAGGCATAAAAGCAACCAGCTAAAATTAGCATTGTAACCCTGTAAAATGGTAGGAAGGTAATTGATGGCTTATCTTACAGGAGCTATAACCTTCGCGAACGTGGGCATTGCTATGCTGGAGCCGAGTCTACCTATATGGATGGCAGACACTATGGAAGCTAGACGCTGGCAGCAAGGCGTGGCGTTCTTACCAGCCAGCATCTGCTATCTCATCGGTATGATATTACATACTAGTGAACAAAACTTTTTCAATTGCAATTAAAAAAGGAAATTTAACCAAGCTTTTTCAAGTCTTTCTATTAATGCAGCTAAAAATACTAAAAATACTCAAATCCCTTTTGAGTATCTGAGTAGAGTATATCTTTTAGTAGTAGTTTAAAAGAATGACTTCATTATTTATTGATTACCTACTTGTCCTGCTCTCATATTTCTACATACAAACATACGAGACACTCACGCATCATTCGCGTCTAGGGTAGGCAGACAATTTACAACTGGTTCCCCGGCTACTGGTACCTTTTTTTTTTTTTTTTTTTTTTTTTTTTTTTTTTTTTTTTTTCCCGTGCGGAAATCCCCTCGGATACCACCTGTCGGTGGAATGTCGGACTCGAACCGACTAAAACCGCACGCCTTCGCCGGGTACTAATAGCCGGGGAACCAGGTATACCCTAGAAAGGAAGGCCCTGGTGCCCCGACATACCTCGGGTCATCTACAGACGAGTAGACGACCCCCGCCCCGTGTGGGAACCCCATGTTCCCTGTGCTCCCTGGAAGCGAGCGCGCTTCGCAACGCGCTCGCCGCCACCCCGGCCTGCTTCTGCTAGGGTGACAGATGGCCTCACCTGTCACCCCCAGGCCTGCGCTTATGGAGGACGGAGGTCATTCTGCGACCTCCGGCGCCTGAGTCGCCTGCGCTGCCTGGCCCGTGCCCGGGCCTGGCGGGCCGGGAGAGTTCTAAACCTCTCCCGGTCCCGCTCCGCCGTCTCCTTCGCGAGCATAACTTGCTCGCAGAAGGAGACGGCAGAGTTCCACGCACACTCGCTCCGCACGATAGCCGCAATCAGGCTATCGAGCGAGAGAAGGCTACTGGTACCTGAGACAGCTTGCGGTTTTTGGTCGGTTCGAGTCCGACATAACCCTAGGTGGGATTGCCGCACAGGAAAAAGAAAAGGGTAGGGAGACATGATATAACGCCATTGCCACGATCCACTTACATCTCGTATTTATCAGACTTTTCATGACGTGGCTGGTACTTTAACCTAGACCTCTACAGTGACCTACCTGCATCGGCTCACCCATTCACAAAGTCCTATAAGTTTCCTCTTGACTTAGATAGATTCATGGATCTGGCAAATAATTATCCGGGAAATGGGGAGTAGTAGTACAAAGTACAATGATGAAACCGTTAGAAGATACTATGATTACGTGGAGCGAGGATATAGTTGGGTCTGTCCACCCCTTTAGGGATCATTACATCATCATCATCACACATCAACCGATTTTAATAGTCCACTGCTAGACGTAGGCCTCTCTTTAGAAATGAGGTTTAGGAGATATTAACAAGAAACTAATCGTGATCCTGACTGCTGACGCGTGAACCGTTCGTGGGTTCAATTGTATCGTACAAGGACAAATGATTGTGTGATGAGAGACAGGTGTGATTTATGTCTAACATGTATTTCGTAATAGGTATATTTATCAGCTTACCCTAGTACAGGTTATATCTAGTTAGGGCCATGTGAGAGATGTAATCAGTTATAAAAAAAAAAACAATACAATGTTTATTCATCTACTTGAAAACTACGCGTGTACCAAAGCGTCACATAGTAGGCCAAAACCTCTTTTCTAAGGAGAGGCCTATGTCCAGTAGTGGACCATTAAAAGCTGTTGATGTGATAGCATTAAAGACTGCCCTCATTCGTGCAGTAGAAGCGTATGCGACTGCTGTTAGTACGAGATCCGACTGCAGAATTAGTGTACTCATCGAATGTTTGCTAAAAATCAAATTTTTAGGCATATTTATGATTAGAAAAATATATATCTACCAAGGTGCCAATAAAAATGTGGCCGCTACTATTTTTAATTAAATTATTGCAAATTGATTTTTCGGAAAAAAATTCATTCGCTGGTTTTTTAAATAAAATATCGTCCACTTTACGGCAATATACATGGAAACTGTGGAAAATCACCGTTGCCGTTGCGCACTTGGCCGCACCTCTTCGCAGCCAGGTGTAAACAGGTATGATTTTGATACGTTTATACGTTCATAACGTACATTTATTGTTTATATATCAAATTAAAGCTAATTTTTTTCTGCTTATTATGATATACGGTTACTTAATTAAATTTGCCCGCAAATAAGGGTTACTGCATATTAAAGATGGTAAATATTTAAGATAGAGTGAAAGAGAGCTAGCGCGTAACATCATTAGTCAGACGAGGATAGTGACTGCCAGCTGGACGACACTTTAAAGCCGTTGCGCATGCGTCGAATGCTAGTGTTCTCAACTGAACAGCTGCGAACATTTCATTCTAACATAAAAACCACGCTGTTTTGGAGTTCGTAATACAAAACGTTATATCTATTGTTGTTTAATTTTGTGCATCTAAAAATTATCAAATTAATTAACATAAAATAAAATCGATAAAGATGAAGGCGTGTTTTCTGTGTGCCAAAAAATTCAATGTACTTGACTTTAATAATACATCATTCAAAAAGTGTTTACTAATGTTATTGTTTCGTCGTAAGAAAAAATATAAATATCATGACATTTTATTGACAGTTGAATCTACTGATGATTTTGGATATCATTCAGAGTGTCTAAAAAAAATTACAGTTCTGAAGCAAAAAGATAAAGAAGAATTCGAAGATTTTTGCAAAACACAAGCTGTAAGTAAAATTTCAATTGAACTTAAGAATAATATAGGTTATAGTTACGATATAAAAAATACAGTGCTAACTTTGAGGTTTTTTGTTAATTGTTTTTTTTTTAATTTCTTATTTTCATAGGAAAACGTAGTAACACAGTACCCTCTACGAATTCCTAAGATATTACATTTCTCACACAGGTAGAATTTTTCAGGTAGTCGGATCTTTTTGAACCTTCTTTCAAACAAACTATAAAATCATTCAGCAATATAATGTGGAGAAATAAATACTATTACCGACTTTCTTTGTTAACAATGCGTTATTTCTTTTCGAAAAAAATATATAATTGCCAATAATAGCAAAATAAAAAAAAATTTACATATTTATATTCTTTTAGATCGACTTGATATTTTCGTTTAATTATATCAAATACAATGAAAACATTGTTATTGAATGACAATGGAATATGTAACTGTACCTCCGTATTTCTTATAATTTACAGATCCCGAGCCTCCCTTCAGGTCTTCATGAACAAACTATTCCTGCTGTAAACTGTGATCTAGTAAGTATATACAGCAGTAATAATATTAATATTATTAATATTATCAGATTTCAAAAAAACATTTCGAGAACCAAGCTTTTAATAAAAATTGTCTTTCAACGCATACATTTACTTTGCAGGAAGAATCAAGGGCTACATTAAACGATCAACCGACTACACTTTCAGTAGACGAACAGCTTAGTACGACTGCTTTAAACGAGCAGCCTAGTACATCTGCGCAGGAGGATGATCATTCTCAGTGTATTCAAAATTTGTCATCTGCTGGTACAATATCCCAGCAAGCTAATTCATCAACAATTATAAATAAAAAGTCAGCCTGCCTTTTTTGTGATCATGTTGAGAAAAAAGTTGGTAAGAGACGAACTTATGTAACATTCCCGCGATCAGAAGCAACGGTTGAAACAATAAAATCAATGGCCGGGAAATCGAATGACTCAAAACTATTAGCGAAACTAGAAAGCCCTCAATCTATTGCTTATCATTCGACTTGTTTGTCATCGTATCAGATTTCACTGAAACGAAAATATGAGGAACATCCAGAGCCAGGATATTGGCACAAAAATCGCCAATTTCACCAGTTAGCATTCAATGCAATTTCGGAAATAATAAAGGCGGAAATTATTGAGAAAAATCGCGTTATGTATCTTACTGATTTGTTATTTCAGTATAAATCATTGCTGTTGGAATTTGCTGAAGGTCAAGTACGCGCTGAAGATTTACAGGAATATCGTGCTGAAAACTTAGAAAATAAAATTATAAAAGCTTTTGGCGATCGAATTACTGTAGAGTCATCCATGGGGACACCAAAAAGGAAAATTGTCTATCAGTATGACATGAACACGTCACGATTAGTTAGTGAAATAGCTAAGTTAGAATCAAATGAGAAGAATCGATGCAGAGATGTCGCTTACGAATTGCGAAACTGTATAACATCTGTAGAAAGTACGAAGCTGCCAGATAATCTAACTCCAGAAGATATTATTCTCGGAGAGTGTAATATTCCAGAACAACTTTTTAATTTCGTGTGCGACTTAGTTCAAGGACCAGATACTCGTCGTAAAAATTCAAGTGACGACTTAGTGAAAATTAAGTCTGTGTGTAGTGATCTGATTTATATTGTATCGAAAGGTAGAGTCAAACCGTCAAAACATCTTACGCTCGGGTTATCAATGAAATCAATGACAAGTTCACGAAAAGTTCTAACGATATTAAATAGATATGGACATACAATAGGGTATAATTTAGCTGAAGAAATTGAAACTGAGATGACGTATAGTTCCCAAAAAGAAAACAATGTAATACCGGCTGGTATTAGCCGAGTTGATGGGCTAAGCACGCACGTAGCTTTCGATAATTTTGACCGTTTCGTCGATACACCCACTGGAAAAGATACTCTGCACGATACAGTCGGTATCATTTATCAGTTTCGCAGTGAAAATGATGACCCTAATAATTTGGACAATTCGGATACTTCTGATTCAGAATCCCTCGGCGCATATTTCCATGAAGGTCACACGGATGAGTCCCTTGCAAGAGCTCGTAAGAGACGGCGTTTTGAAGCACCTCCGAAGGAAATTCGTCCCTTTATCAAGACACCTTTTACAAGTATGACGTTTCTTCCTTTTCAAACAATTACTGAAATAATCGATGCGTGTCACCCAGAAAAATTAATTGCAATTGATAAGGATTTGATTTGGAGTATGTCATTATCTCAAATTAATTCGGTACCCATGTGGTTAGGTTATAACTGCAAAATTGGCATTGATGAGAGTAAAATTCAGACAGTCGAGTACTTATCACCAATAAATGAATCTCCTACGTCGCTAGCTGTTGTTCAGGAAACTCTTAATATTGCAAAAGAAGTTGCTAAGAATTGTAATCAACAACAGATCATAGCTACTTACGATTTAGCAATAGCCAGATTAGCTATGCAGATCCAACATACTAAAAAGCCAGAATTTGACGATATATTCATTAATTTAGGTGCATTCCATACCCAAATGGCTTTCTTTAAAGTAATTGGAAAGTATATTGACTCCTGTGGATTAATAGAGATTTTAGTTGAAGCTGAGGCACTAGCAGGAGGTTCAATGAACAGTTTGTTGGACGGTAAACATTTTAATCGATGTAAGCGGCTACATCCCTTGGCTTCTGGTGCTTTACAGATTCTTCATTTTGAGAAATATTTATCTGAAATTGGCGCGGACGATGTTGAAACATTAAACGAAGACTTAAACGCAGCAATGAATACTTCACGTGGAGTCAATGAGAGCATTGTTTTACCTGATTCATTGCGTAAAATACTGGAGGGTTATAAACAGTTCCGCGAAACAACACTTCAGGGCGGTCATGGAAAGACAGCTCAATATTACTTACAGTATACTGAACTTATCAACATATTTCTTCGATTTTCTAGAAGTATTCGTTGCAGTAATTTTGAGCTCTACTTGGATTCTATCTTCGAAATGTGTGGTTACTTTTTTGCATTTAATCAACCGAATTATGCCAAATGGGCTGCTATGTATTTAAATAACTTAATCAACCTGAAGGTAGAAAATTCAACTCTACTTAAAGAATTTCATGAAGGTGCTTTTGGTATTAGACGCACAAAATCATGCTTAGGCAGATCACCTGTAGACTTGACTTTGGAGCAGACGATTAATGCTGATGCCGGTAATACCTTGACTGGTGTTAGTCATTTTACAAATTCGATCGCTGCGCGAGAAAGATGGGCTCTTAGTCATAGTGTCAGAACAAAAATTATCTCGTTTGTAAAAGCAGAAATCGGATTATCTCAAGCAGATGATACTTCTTATACGTTACAGAAGAATCGAATCGAGAAAGACTCCAAGACTTTGAGCAGTATTGTTGAAAGGATCAAGAAAACAATGAATCCTTTTTCTGAAAGTGTAGACAAAGACAGTTTGTTCAATTTGTCAACTGGTAAAGCAGCATCCTTAAATGTTACCAATTTTTTGCTCAACGTTAAGTCTTTAAGTCAAGAACAAAAGTCAAAATTTTTTTCGGATTGCTTTGAAGATTCAACAAGATTTGTGAGACCGATAACTCGTAATAAAATACATAACTTCGCTTCAGATTGTGTTAAAAAAAGTATTAAGAGTACCACCGGAGACAAAAAAACATTAATTAAAATGGAACGAGATATTTTTGGCCGTCTGTTAGCAATTGCTATAAATCAAAAAGTTGACATTGAGTACTGTCTATCATTCCCGCTAGCACCTGTACCTCCCGCACTATTTCACTGTTCAGGTGACATGATGAAGACGGACAAATCAACTTTAAGTAAACAATTGACGGCAAAGATAGCACCAGCTAATCCCGGACAAGTCGACGTAGAAATCATAGATGGTTTCTATTATATGTATCAAATTGGCTCTACTTTGCCACTAACATTTGGAAAAATAGCAGAATCGATATTGATAAAACTTTGTTCAAAAAATGCTCGGGAAGTGCATATCATATTTGATAGATATTTGACGCCTTCTATTAAAGATTGCGAACGACAAAACCGAGAAGGAATTGATATTCCATACACAATTAATGGCCCTTTGCAAACAAGAACCAATGATTTTTGTAAAAGTTTGAAGAATTCTCGTTTTAAAGAAGCCCTGGTAAAATTTTTAGCTAACCATTGGACCAATAATTCTTTTGCTACAATATTAGGAAATAAAAAAATTTATATAACCGTTGGAGAGAAATGTTTTTCATATAGTTCTGCTGAGAATCTCGTAGTGAAAACTGAAGAAAATGAATTAGCATGTAAACATGAAGAGGCTGATACGAGAATTGTTTTTCACATTAGTAAAGTACCTGAAAATTCGAAAATTTTAGTGAAAACTGCAGACACTGACGTTTTAATCATTTTACTAGGTAATATGCATAAATTTCCTAATTTGCAAATTTGGTTGGCAAACAGTACATCAAAAAAAATTAATAATAAGGACGAAGTTTACATAAACTGTACGGACTTATCAATAAAATTAGGCGCAACTTTATGCCATGCTCTTCCCGCTTTCCACGCATACACGGGTTGCGACTACACGGCTGCATTCTTCAACAAAGGGAAAGTTCGGCCCTTGAATGTTTTTATTAAGCACCCACAAATTCAACAAGTTTTTGCGTCTTTGACAGATCCCAGTGACATCTTTGATGAAACCAAAATTGATGCAGTCCAAGAGTTTACGTGCCTTATATATGGACTCCCAAAGTGTCAAAGTGTAAATGCTGCAAGAGTTTTTTTATTTAACAAAATGTACGCTTCGAAACAGAATAATGAAAAATTTATGAAAAGAGTTCAAGGTTTCGACTCAACGCACATTCCACCGTGCTGGAAATCGTTGAAACAGAAATTATTGCGGACAATCTTTGTTAATTCGATGTGGTTAAATGCCACTGAGTCAGATTGCATCAAGTTCAGCGCAGAAAATAATGGTTGGCTGCTGTTAGATGGTTTTCTAAAACCAACATGGTTCCAGGGAGACTCAACTCCAGCGCAAGTTGAGAGTGTGCTATGTGACTCGAAGAACAAATCTTCCGATAATGACGACGATTCTGATATTTGTAATAGCGATGAAAGTGATAGCAGCGATAATGGTGTAAGTGAAAGCTCCGATGATTCAGATTTTTAAATAAGAGTCACGGAATTATAAAATACATTTTTTTAATTTTTAATTTCCTTAAATGTTTAATTAATATGTAATCATGTGTTGAATATTTGAATAAAACATCATATTTTTTCAAACAGTACTTGCACAAAAAAATTTACTTTTACATAAGGAACCTTAGTTTCATTTTTCACCAATAATAATTTTTTGTCGTAATTTTTATAGTTGTCATTTTGAAAAAAACAAAATATTTCTTTTGGAGTATTTATTAAGTAGTCCCTACTGCTGTTTGAACCGGTGGTTGAGAACACTAGCATTCGACGCATGCGCAACGGCTTTAAAGTGTCGTCCAGCTGGCAGTCACTATCCTCGTCTGACTAATGATGTTACGCGCTAGCTCTCTTTCACTCTATCTTAAATATTTACCATCTTTAATATGCAGTAACCCTTATTTGCGGGCAAATTTAATTAAGTAACCGTATATCATAATAAGCAGAAAAAAATTAGCTTTAATTTGATATATAAACAATAAATGTACGTTATGAACGTATAAACGTATCAAAATCATACCTGTTTACACCTGGCTGCGAAGAGGTGCGGCCAAGTGCGCAACGGCAACGGTGATTTTCCACAGTTTCCATGTATATTGCCGTAAAGTGGACGATATTTTATTTAAAAAACCAGCGAATGAAATTTTTTCCGAAAAATCAATTTGCAATAATTTAATTAAAAATAGTAGCGGCCACATTTTTATTGGCACCTTGGTAGATATATATTTTTCTAATCATAAATATGCCTAAAAATTTGATTTTTAGCAAACATTCGATGAGTACACTAATTCTGCAGTCGGATCTTAGACTATGTGCTGAGGTCTAGGATTCGACAACCGGGTTTGTATGATTTGCAAATATTTCTTTCGGAGTTTGAGTGTTTTCTACGTGTAATATGTTTGTATAAACAAAAAGTATTTAAGTATTCTATCAGTCAATCTATCTTTCATAGTACAAGATCTGCTTAGTGGCGGTATTGTGTGTTATATGCCCACACAATATTTTAAAAAACCGCAGGACTACCTACTGTATGGCTGTCTACTTAATTCCTGGTTAACACCTTGTGATACCCATGTTTCAGGTACCAACCTGTTCGGTCCACTAGGCCACAAGATGGGACGCTGGCTGGCTGCATGCTCAGGGCTCATGATCATTGGCGTATGTCTCATATTGGTGAGGTCCACTTATATGTTTGGAACTTAAAATTGCAAAAATATTTTAGCGTTACAGATTTAGGATAATTGAATTATTTATCGCAATAATATTCTAAATAAACCGTGACTTTAAATAAACCGTGGAAAAGCCATGCTTCGGCAGAAATGGGCCGCCTCGACTCTAGTGATACCACGTCCTCACAGAAAACTGGTGTTAAGAAATTCTGTCGTTGCATTTCACCGAGTGAGTGGCAACCGGCTACCCAAATCTCCCTCTCGAGGAGGCCATAACCCTGCAATGCGTGACTCTAGAATTGCCCGTGTTCATAGCAGGCGGTAGTCACTTACCATCAGGTGACCAGTCTGCTTGTTTGTCCCCTTATAACAATTATGTATGTATGCGATGTTTAGTTACTAGTAAATTTATCTTATAATAACTTTATAATGACCTAATTTAAGTTACTTTAAAATACCACATAAAAATGTAATTTGACACTAAGATTCTCCTCTCTTCCTCAGATCCCGATGGCTCGTAAACTGGAACACCTGATTATACCTAACGCCGGTCTGGGCTTCGCCATCGGCATGGTGGACTCCTCCATGATGCCGGAGCTAGGATTCCTCGTGGACATTCGACATGCAGCTGTATATGGCTCCGTGTACGCTATTGGAGACACCGCCTTCTGTTTAGGATATGCTGTTGGTAAGTTCATTATTGAGGTTTTAGTGTCCAAACCTTGGGAGAGACGTACTTCGGTACCTATGGGTAGTGTAGAAGCTTTAGAGAAAATCTTGTTAAGCGGTCACCGAAGGTTCAACTTATTTTGAGGTGCGCAAAAGGCAGTGTCCATGAGCGATGGTAGTTACTATACCATGAAAAACATCTTAAGCTTATTCGTATCCAGCTATAGACCCTCTTATGGCAGAGGCCACCACAACAATTATTTTTATTCTTCAGAAACAATATCATTACACCACAAATTAACTGTAAAATATATTTCATTTTTAATCCAGTAATAATATGGACAGATCAGAGAATATTATAAATGACCCTGACTTCAAAGTTCTTCTTCAATCTTTCACTTCCAGGCCCTGCTCTGTCTGGTGCTTTGATGAACAGCATCGGCTTTGAATGGATGATGGTGATCATCGCCATACTCAACTTCGGCTACGCTCCTTGTCTCTTAATGCTGAGATCACCACCGGCTCGGGATGAGAAGCAGGTTAGTGCTAAATCCAATTTAATTCCTAATAAAATATTTTTTTGAAAGTATACCCAAAGAATAATAACTAATAACATAATGATACTTTAAGCACTGAAAAGCACTTATATACCAATATGTCTACTCAGAACTTGAGCAGGGGCACCAGAACTTTTTAAATGCCTCATTTAATCAATTTCAGAGCCTGATAATAAGTGATAAATCATCTGTCCGCTACGTGAGCTACCAAAACGAAGAAGAAGAATAAGCGCCATCTTGAAACATTTCCCGCCATTACCGCCCGCCATTTTGTATTTCACTCGGAAGTTATAATGGGGTTTGCTTTAGACGTCTTAGGAGTAAAGACCAACATATATTTATATTCTATGTATACTGTAGTATATTGCCCAAAACGTATATTTAAAGCATATCTAATATATTAAATTCTATTTTATGTCTAACTGTATACAATGTTTAGAATTTCTGTATCTACATATGACCAATTTTTCTCTAAACTGTCGTAAATTGTAGTATTCATGTACACATATTTATGCTTTATAGACAGATAGATTCGTAAGTATATATGGCTATGTATATACAAGGCCTTGCATTAAATATATATTTCAGATGTGCTTCAGAGAAGACATATCTTAAAAACAAATCATTTTAACATTACATAATAAATGTTGTCTTGAAATATGTTCAGAATCAATATCATGAGTGTTTTCTAAGAATCAAAAACGTTTTATCTTCTGAAAATTCTTAACTTCTGTCTTTTTAAAGTGTTGCTTCCTAAATCATTATGATTTGCCAATCCAATTCCAATATATTATGTATATTTAAAAAGTTGACAATATAAATACCTATGTATAAAACCGATTATTCAGGGTGTACATTTTAGCTAAGAAGATATTTCAACAATAATTATACAGTTCGAAATGTGCTAGAATGCATATTTTTTGTAAGTACAAGTTTGTTTGTACTTGTTGAATTTTTTACATACCCACATATTAGAACTTTTTTTGTTTGTTTCTTTTGTACATATATAATAATTTATAATTACTATTGCAAAACGTTAAAATGGTAAAGTTTATATAATAATATATAAGTTGTTTTAACTTTAATAAAAGACGAGATATCTTTGCAAGTTCCCTTTGAAAAATAATATATCAACAGCTTACGCAGAGATAATTTTGCAAAAGTGACTTCGACAATATTTTTATTGTATAAAATTATATAATATGTATACATTATAGACAATAACCAAATATTTTGAAAGTAAAAACTACAATTCGCGAACGATCTGAAATATAAAATTATACAAGACTTATGTAGTCATTAAACCCTCCCTCCCTCTGATTCTGGGGGAGAGGGGACTCAAAGGGTGGCACACATTTGTTACTTGCGTTACAGATGTCCTTGGGCTACAATAGTCACTTACTATCAGGTTATCTGTCTGTTCGTTTGCTCCCCAATGCCATAATTAACTCACTGTAGTTTAGCACCTCGTAGCTGCTGATGATGAAGTAATTAGGTGGTAACTCTTTATTGACTGCTACTAAACCGATCGAGTGTAAGCTTATATGTTTCGTTCTGACATGTCTAGTAGATTGGTCTTAGTAGTGATGGACTGATGATGAAGCCTTTTCTACTGTTTATTCTGATCGCCATTAATGCCTTATTTTTAACCGACTTCAAAAAAAGGAGGAGGTTCTCAATTCGACTGTATTTTTTTATTTATTTTTTTAATATTCTTTTAAGAATTATAACAGTAGAAAGATTTTTAACTACTTTCGACAACCTGCATCATCATGTGTTTGTGCTTAAATAAAAATAGTATTTATATTTCAGGATCCATAGACAACGCGATGTAGAGTTTGTACTACTATTTTTACTTTTTGCTAAATGACAATAAATTATCTCGAAAAAAATTGGCCACGTTTTGATGTATTTTTTTATTGAGTGGACCAAGTGGGTAGATTAATTTATTTATAAATATATATATATATATATGAGCTTATTTTAATAAATTTGTATATAAACGAAATAACAATAAAATGACAATATGGAAATGTTACATGGAAAGCTTAAATACATTTAATTACTTATTTTTTATTAGTCGATCAAAGTGTTTTAACAAACACTTTATTTTAAATAAAATGACTCATTTCCATGAATAATAAATTAATAGTTGATTAGATTTATATTGTGTATGTTTATTGATCATTTTTTATATTTATTAATTGCAATTTTAATACATTTTATTATTTTATATTTATAATTTAATTTGTTAGTTACATTTGTAATTCTTACTAAAATTTATACTAAACTTTGTGCATAATTGTTTATAAAATATATACGATATTAATCGGTCAAATATTCCATTTTTATCTGTAAAACAATAATTAAATATAAACATATAAATATATAGTTAGATAAATTAATGTTTTTCCTGTATTTAAATATACTTTTAGAAATAAAATGTAGGACATTGTTTGTCTTTTATTATATCGGTTTGTACAAAAATAATTTGTCAAATGTGAATGATTGTTTCTTAGTCTTTGTATCTCGTTGTCAACTTTTAAATATGTCTGTTATTCTTCTTGCTGTTATTTTAGATGTATTTTATAAGATACATAAACATGTCTTTTACATGTGACAGTAAATAAAAGTGGTTTGCAAACAATAATTAATTTAATAGTGATAACAGTATTTATAAGGATGATTTCACGAATGTTACTTAATAAAGTTACGAAAAATAAACACAAGTTTATAACAATTCGTAGAGTGACTCGCAAGTCTCATACCTAAATAGAATAACAAAACAATACCACAATCTCTGTTATATTGTTGTCATACCCTATAGAATGTTCAAAAAATATATTAGTTTCAGTAATTAAGTTCAGGAATAAATAACATAAATTCTTTTGATTAAACAATAAATTAAACAAAAATACTAACTAGGTATGTAACATATGCATGTCTAACGTAGAAAATCATATTTAATCATTAAAGCTTAATCAACATTTTTACTTATTAGACTTTTACGTAGACGTTTTCATAGCATATTTATAACATTCCTATGAATTGATATCCAAATTTCTACATTTGTGTCTATTTAAAAAAACTTATTTAATTAAAAAAATTGTTACTCCGTATTTATTATATTAAAACTTTGAATACAAATACAATACAAATTATAAAATAGTAAACATAAATTTTAATAACAAAACGTAAATTCTTTAGAGAATTCTTCAACCATTATATTATACATTTATTGTTTACTTTGTTCAAAGTTAGATATGTTACATTCGAAAACAACTTATTTTATCTTTTATTTAAAAAAAGACACATCTCGTAAAATCTAATTATGTATGGCTGCATAGTTTGATTACTGACGAAATGTTGAAAAATGGTTATTAAATTTATTGAAATATATATGCATATATCCATCTTAGAGTTTTATATACAATATAATAAGCTTAACCAATACGCTTAAATCCACACTAATTAAATAACTATTATCACATATTACTACGCTTTAGTATTTGAAACATTTATGTCATTTTAAACAAATACTAAATATATAATCACATAATCTTCCAGTATTAGATATTAATGTAATTTATCAACGTACTACCATAACCTTATCATCATCATGATGATAATGTCACGTGATAATATTTAAAATATATTTAAAATACATTTTGTTTTGGTTTAAGTTAATCCAGTGTGTAGTGTGTTAATTAAATAGTGCGTTTTGTTTATCTATTAAACTTTGATAAATGTGTTTAAATGAAGTGTCATATAAATGTTTTGTAGAGAATTAGAAAGTGTATCAGTAGTAATATTAATATATATTACTTATATGACATAATTATGTTCAAACGTAGAATAAAACTAGTGTACAGGAGGGTTTTAGTAGTATATTATAAAAAAATAGCTATACAATCATTCATATTTGATATTTTTTTAGATTCTTGCAATAGCTGGGTTTGGGTCCTATTCAAAATGTATAATATACCTGTGTTTAATTATTTTGTTGTATAATTAATGTATAAAATAGGATTTAATCCACATATATATTATTTGAAATTGTATTTTACTTAACGTAGAATCTAAAGTTATTCAGTACATTTATAAATTGGGACTTCATCGAGTTTTATATCGTATCCGTTTTGGTTACCTGATCTTTCAATAGATCGTGGTCACAACTAACATTTATTATGAAAGAAAAACTACATATATTTGTTCTTTTACTTTTTCAATTAACAGCCTTTAATAGCCCACTACTGGACACAGGCCTTTCCTTAAAATCCAATCTTTAAAGTGTACTATAAAATCGGGTATATCTGTAGTTATAGTTAAACTATATTTATAAAATAAAAATTAATGTTAGTACAATGGCGATGAGCTAAAAGTGTATTGTAGTAATAATCTGAAATTTTGTAAAATATAATATTATATAAATATTTATTGTCGTTATCCATAATACCCGGGTATGGTACGAAATACCATATATAATTGTAGGTGTATAAGTGAATTAGTATAATAATATATTGTACAATGTTGTACACAGCGAATTTAAATAAGCGTGTGCCAAAGTGTAACACATTAGGAATAGGTACGCATTTATAAATATTCTTATAAGCTTATATATGGAAATGAATAATATAATATCGGCAAAAATATTTTTTGCGCATATTCTGTAATTGCATGCTTTTTCGATCTTACCGGTTATTTCGACAATTACCCGGGTAGTTCAGGTAGTTGATATCCTATGGCGAAATATAATAACCATTAAATGTGATAGTGTAGTGATATTTTCGGCTTTTAGGTGTAGTTGTAAGATAAAAATATGTGTCGTAACTAAAATGGCGATCCAACTTATTTTGACTATTATAATTTATTTATTTTCGTTATTATGTAAGAGTACCTATCATCAGTTTTTGAATATTTTCTAACTGTTGATGAATTTATTACAAGTGCATTGTAATAAGTATGTATTGGTGCAAATTTATTTTTTTGGTCATACCTATATTTTTTAATTTAATTAAAATGTATGAATTGAGAAATTGATGTATTTTTTTGTTAAATAATATGTTTGAGTAAAAGTTTTGATAATTTTGAGAATAATGTTTTAAATGTGTTTTGTGATATAATAGAATAATAGCATACCTACCTAATCCTGCCCTAAATGTCTAAATCCTTAGTATATTGGTAAGTTAAATATTAAATGTAATTTAAACGCTTTTGTTGAAGAAATGGCTCAACTTGGCAGTGAAGTTTAAAAACATATATCCTTATACATTAGAAAAGTAATATACATGGCCTATTGTTCATTTTGTTTAGCCAAATAAATATGTTAACTTTATATTTAACTTAAAATTGTTTTTGTTTTTAAATATGATAGAAGCTTTTCTGTTTTATATTTTTAGTATATATACATATATAAATGGAATATTATAAATATGAAAAAAATATGTGTTATAATATTTAATTTAATAAAAATGTGGGTATATGAACCAACATAGCGTGTTTTACTAATATCCTAACTCCACAAAAAGAAAATTAATTATTTAAACACTACAGTTATTTTTTAAATATCAAAATAATAATAATATTGACGTCCCGCCCGTCCCCAAACTAGGCAAAGCCTGTTCTATGGTAACCAGACTGCTGATAAACATACTTATATATTTCTAAATATATACATATTATAGATAACTTACACAAGATATAGAATAAACGACCATGCTCATTACACAATTATTTGATCTGTGTGGGAATCGAACCCACCACTTCGCAGTCAGGGTCACTAGACGATAAGGCCCGACATTATAAAAATGTATACAAACAAAAGTACAGAATACTACAGACCACTTTGAGTTGCAGCTCCGGCTTCTCCGAGCCAATCTCAGTCCTGTTAACCACCACCACTCCCATTTCCCACATTTTTTCTTTGCCTCGTCAGAAAATGATTACATTCCCAGAGAGGACGACGTCAGTTAGTAAAACGACACAAAAGAAATCATACCCACCGAGGGTTCCGTATTTTGTAGGTGTATATTATAAATAGTTCAGGTGTCGAGTCTTGCAGTTTTTTTAGAAATGTATAGTTTTCAGCTTTTTACTTGTACTTGACGTATAAGACTATGTTACTTGCCAAATTTCATAGTTCTAGGTCAACGGTAAGTAGGAAACTACCATTGTAATTTTCACTTGATAAATTATTATAAACGGGATATTTACGATGTTTATTTTCGAGAATTAGTTCATCATCATCATAAACAGCCTTTGATAGTCCACTACTGGTCATAGGTCTACCTTCCCTCGTTTCCCAGTAAAAGTAAGTTATTTTTATGTTAGAGGGGGCAGACGAGCAGACCGATGGAAAGCGACTGCAACTCAGGAGTCACAAACGCGTTGCGGTATAAGTATTCTATAAGTAAAGTATATAAGTATTCTACCAGTCAATCTAGCTTTCATAGTACAAGCTTTGGCTAGTTTGAAACTAGATGGCGATGTGTGTTAGATGTCCGAAAAATAGATATAAATGAATAAAAATTTATTAATTCAGGACGGCATCATAGTCAGAGGGTATCATAACCTTTACATATAAAAAATTACTTTCCTGAATGACTGGTTGATCAACCACTAACGCTACAAGCTGGAAATTTTTGGCAGCTTATGCTTTATGTTGTAAGCACCTACTAAGAAAGGATTTTGGAAATTTACACCTGAGGGGTTAAAATAAGCGATGAACGGTTTTTCGGAAGTTATTCATTCAATGTTAGGAACAGGTAATAATCACACGAATGAAGCCGCGGGTGTAATTATTGTTATACCTGACCCGGGGCTAACAGGTGAGGCTGACCGTTATTCTAGCAAAGGCAAGCCTGAGATGGTACCGCGACGCATTCCGTAGCCTCTAATAGGAAGAAGGCAAGACCCTCCACTGTACGGTTTGCGTAACTTTCGGGGACTTCCTGCCTAGATTATACTCGTTTGTGTCGAAACACCGTATGCTTTAAGTCCTCTCGTTTCCGACATACTTGTGAAGTGATTACCCGTGAGGATTTCTAACAATAAACAGCTTGTTATATAATCAAATATACACGTTGTTTTGCGTTATTTCTTGAACTTATCATTAGATTGATAATATATCGATAAATCATTGGACTTGCTGATAGTGTTGATAAAAATTTTGTAGTCAGTGATTCATTAGCGGTTATTTCACTAGTATTGTTAACATAACTGTAACTTAGTTCTAAATATATACTCGTGTATAAAGCTTTTCTTAGTTTTTCAATGAAGGAAATTTATTTGTGTATTTAATTAGGTTGAGTTTTAATTAGTGAGTTGAGTTAAATAGTGTTCGTGAACTGAGTATTGTTTTTACACTAATTTTTTTGTTAACGACAACTAAAACTTTGATTTTAAAATATAAAACGACGAAATTTTTAAATACTTGTCTTGTCTATATAATATGTAGATTTACATAACTGTATCAAATAATAACATCAGATCCCTTGAGATCAGGATGTCAGCAAGTCGTGACACGTTCAACGCTAAAGTCCTAGAATTCTACATGAAACAGCTAGTAGAAATACCCTTTTTTTTTCCGTGCGTAAATCCTCTCGGATACCGCCTGTCGACTGTAACACAGACGAGTAGACCCCCCCCCCCCCCCCCCCCGTGTGGGAACCCCATGTTCCCTGTGCTCCCTGGAGGCAAGCGCGCTTCGCAGCGCGCTCGCCGAGTAGAAATACCCTCATGTATTCTTCACCTCAGATATTTTTGTATTTATTTTATTCCGTATTTATAATATATTAATATTTATTTATGTATTCGTCTGTGTATTTTAAATAGTATTATAGTATTGACTGGCCTGTTGGCGTAGTGCTTAGTGACCCTGATTGCTATGCCAGAGGTCGGGGGTTCGATTCCCACCCAAAACAAATAATTGTGTGATAAGCGTGGTACTTTGTTCTGTGTCTTTATGTACTTTATCTATAATATGTATGTATTTAAAAATATATACGTATGTTTATCGCTTACCATAGCTTAGACTCTGCCTAGATATTTTCAGACGGCCTTGTGTGAGATTTGCGAGGGGAGATTATATCACAACAATCCTCAAAGACCAGAGTCGTTAAAATAAAAAATTGAACCGAAAACAAACTTCAGTTTATAAATAAATATACATAGGTTGTTATTTATTTATTTTAAACAAACAACCTTAGTGTTTTAAATTATATGTTTTTTTCGGTTTAGTGGTCAAACGAGCAGACAGGTCACATGATGGTCAGGCTAGTCCCTAGGGATGGAATCAAATCACTATCACCTGTGATAAATCATATCTATACTAATATTATAAAGCTGAAGAGTTTGTTTGTTTGTTTGAACGCGCTAATCTCAGGAACTACTGGTCCGATTTGAAAAATTCTTTCAGTGTTAGATAGCCCATTTATCGAGGAAGTCTATAGGCTATATATCATCATGCTAAGAGCAATAGGAGCGTAGCACCAATAAAGAATGTTTCAAAAACGGATAAAATTTATTATTATTGAGAGACGCAGACGAAGTTGCGCGGGTCAGCTAGTGTTTTATAAAACACATAATCGCGCCTGCAAGTAATCTACAAAACCACTGCAACTTATTATTATGTCGCGCCAGTCTCGCGAAAGGTTGTAATCTTTGTTAAAAATAATTTTGATATCATTTATCTTTGTCTACAGGCTAAATCACCGTGACTTAAACCAATCATTTGATTATATGATTATGATTTAAATGTAGCAATAATTTCTATTCTCTTTCTATTCTACTAGTCAATTACCATGAGGTCTCTTGAGTTACATAAAAGAGTTACAATGCGTGGCGAGTTATCCTTCCCCCAAAATTAACTGATTTAGTTTTTAATTTTTTAATTAACTTATAAAAATATTAAGCGTCTTTAGTTGGCTGATAACTTTACCTTATGTAACACTAATTTACACTATGTGCGCTATTAGACTTAACTTACTTAGCTTGGTAGACCTAAACCATACCCCAAAACAGTTTCGGAAAAAGGGGAAAAAGTGCACTGTTATTTAGATTTAAAAATATCCCTAATAAAATGTTCCTGCGCATATAATACAGTGAATTAAACAATTCGGTAACACAAGTGATATCGGTATCAGTGGATTATAATAATTACATTATCACAATGATAAATTGTTTATCAACGAATGGAACATAGTCGATTGCTCAAGTTTCTCACGGAACCACGTTACAGGTGAATATTTATTCTTTTTTAAATCAATAAATACTTTATATGTAGATATATTAACAGGCAAGGACGAAATGATTGGCCTCTTTTATCTCGTATTTGATAACAGATTTTTCAGTTGTTTAGCTGTCATAACATCAAGTATATATCATAATCATCATCATCAACAGCCTTTAATGGTCCACTGCTGACCAAAGGCCTCTCCTTAGAAAGGAGGTTTTGGCCTACTGTACCACGCTGTCCAGACGGGTTGGTATAGGGTTTGTTTCAAGTTTTCCTTCTCTTTGCAGTGCTGTTGTCATGCGTATTTTGCTCCCTTAGTCGGCTGTTACGACACCCACGGGATGAATAGGGGTGGCGACACTCCGTATTCTTAATCCGTCACCGCACAAGTATATTATAAATATATAAATAATATTGGGTACCTAATTTTCCCCTTTTTTCTACCTTCGACCAAGCTATCAATAATATTATGAGTAACAACTGAATTTCGTCCTCTAGATGACAACTGGTTAAATCCAGGGAGGTATTTCTCACATGAACACGAGATATACAGTCACACGCATTTGTACTTCATGTTATCTGTTCTTTCAGCGAGTCCTTTGATTTAGATTGTATTTTAACGCATGAAAACAGCACTGCAAAGAGAAAGAAAACTTGAAATAAACTCTTTACCAACCCGTCTGGCCAGTGTGGTATAGTTGGCCTAAACCTCCTTTCTAAGGAGGGTCCTTTATCCAGCAGTGGACTATTAAAGGCTGTTGATGATGATGATGATGAAACCTAATTTCTAAGGAGAGGCCTATATACAGCAGTGGTCTCCTAAAGGCTGTTGATGATGATCTGGTCGTGCCACATTATGCTTAGAACCCAAACAATTTGAGTGAGCACAACTTCAATTAAAAGAGCCTTAAACATAGAAAAAGAGGAACTCTATGTGACTATAATTTAAGAAAGAAGAAGCTTTGTTGACAACTAATGCTTGATGAGAAGTTGGCGCATCAATTGATACTTGCGTTTCTTCCCTTTTCACTTTGTCTCATTTGTTCTGTTTCACTTTGTGTGCTCGGGAATAAAAGTGTCCGCCCTATCGCAAATAGTATGTTTTTGTATTCTACCCTAAACTTAATACAATTAAGTAATGCTATTATTGTAATTGCTTATGTTATTTACTTATTAACTGTTATGTACTAAATTGATTTTGCATGTTGTGGCATGCCGCATAAACTTCAGTGGTTTAAGGTTTGCCTACATTTAACAAATTGTGTAGTTTTGTGAATAAATAAATAAAAAAATTAAAAATGAAATAAGCAAATCGGCAGATAGAAGGGCTATTTTAACTTTATTATTGTCTCCCGCTCTGCTAAGAAGGGACGTGAATATATTATACATCCAACTTGTCCAAACGACTTCTGATTAATTTCAAATTTAAAGACAGTTTACCTTTTTTCTGGGAATCCCAGAGTATCAGAACTCGGTGTGCTCGTGGGTCACTACTGTTGCTGTTAATGTACAGGAGTTACAGTAGATGGCTTGTGGAAATTATTTGTCCCAAAAAAAGATTGAAAAGCAGATCGGAGTAGATCTTATATGACAATAGTGAGGGGCTACACTCGCCCTAAACCTCCTTTCTAAGAAGAGGCCTATGTCCAACAGTTTACTGTTAAAGGTCGTTGATGATGATCCCCACCCTCCAGCCTTCAGCTTTTGCTTTGTACTCGAATATAAATTGTAGGTAAAAAAAAATAACTATCGTCATTGGTTTTTCGAATAATTTTTTCAATATTTTTTTCGAAGAAAAGGAAATCCTATATCTATACAAATAAATAAAATTGGAGTGTCTGTTTGTAATATTAAAGTAACCGCTTTTTACTAAATGCATATGTATGTTTACACGGTACATATGCCAAAATAACATTTTTTACAATTTTTGTCTGTCTGTCTGTCTATTTGTTCCGGGTAATCTCTGGAACGGCTGGACCGATTTCGATGGGACTTTCACTGGCAGATAGCTGATGACATAAGGAGTAACTTAGGCTACTTTTTTAGTCTAGCTTCGCCCCGCGGCGTTGCCCGCGGTTATAACAACAAATTCAGTCTATTCTGTCGTGCTTAAATTTATTGAGAGCTGGTAATTTAATATGGTCCGATAATCCACACGAATAATAGGTTGGAAGAGAGCTACCTCTTTAAACCTTTGAGGAAGAAAGGTGATTATTGATGGGAACGATGAAACGACACGCCCCTCCCCGGCGTTTAACTTTTCAGAGAGTTTATTCGCTTCTGCTAGAAACGATATCAGGTCAAGCTTTTCTCAGAGCCATATATCATGTTGGTCTAATAGCTAGTGACCCTAACTGCTAAGCCACAGGTCGTGGGGTCGATTCCCATCTAGGATAAATAATATTGTGATGAGCACGATCTATTGTTCTGTATCTGGGTGTAATTTATATATAATATGTCTGTCTTGAGAAATATGTAAGTATATTTATCAGACAATTTGGGATCAGAAAGCCGTGTATGTGATATGGGAAGTTATTTTTGTTGTTTGTATTGTTACGTGTCGCGTACTTTTCCAGAGAAATTATTTGCCACTAAGTGCATAGAAATTGTCAAAAGATAGACAGAAATTAACAGTGTTTCCATTGTTGTTAACGAAATGCCCTCGACAGAGAAGCGCCAAGTTGCCAAACAGTCAAACTTATTCCAGAATTATTTCCAGGACCATAATGGCTGAACCGCCTCCGACCAAAGTACACAGAGACTATGAAGAACCTCCAAACATATCAGCCGAAGTACCAGGCGAGCAGAAGATCCGAGAGATTGACTCAAACTTTCAAGATGCCACAGATGTAAGTACCAGTTCCGAAGTAACAGGTACGGATTATACTCTTTCACCTGTTATAACTGTTACTAAAAACGAAATAAGCTTTACGAAAGGTGATTTGAAGTTACAGAAAGTGACTGTTACTGAAGATATATCTGTCCATTTTCAACATTTGTTTAAAAAGGAGGTCTCTCCTGGCAAGACGGTGGTAACTAGCGTTCAGAAGCTTGAATATAAGTATTGATTTTTATGTGACGTTTTATTTAAACCTGTAAACAGGCCTACAGCTGACACCTATTGAAAAGAGTTATTACCATAAATTTATAAAAAATCCACAAAAAAAAAAAAAATTGTCAATGGGTCCACACTAGGCAAGATTGTACCAAGTCTGCCAATGGCGATTACAATTAAAATTAATTAAATTTCAAATATTTTCACAGTTAGCGTTTATTATAAAATAATTTCAAGGTGATCTCAAATACATATTATATCTTAAAAAATGCTGTATGGTCACGGCAGACCAGAATTATCAACTTTTTAGGTAATTCTGTGGTATGAGCAACAAACGCTCTATAAAAATTTTACAGGTTTCGTATAAACGACCTAGTATTTGTTCATATGCAAGTAATAAAAGTTCCATAAAATCAATGCTTTTGATATCGATTAAATGTTTGATTCAAAAGTGATTTTGTATTGACTTTAAATTTGTGGCATCTTAAATCGTATTTAAAAAGTATATTTTTATTTATATCAGTTGTCTAGTACCCATAGTCCAAGCTCTGCTTAGTTTGGGACTAGATGGCGTTCTGTGAATGTGATAGAATATTATTATTTTTATATTATTATTCTCTTAAGATCACAAGATACAAGAAAGTATACGTAAAGAAATGTGGCATGGCACGCATAAAATGTTTGAAAAAAACAAGAATTACTTATAAGAAGAAGTAAGTAAAAAATATTCTGGTTTCCCAAAGAAATAACAGTCACATAAAGATCAATACATGTGTTGACCACCTGCTCACAATCATCATCATCATCACGAGTCTTTAATAGTCCATACTGTTGGACCAATAGTGTTGAACATATGCCTCTCCTTAGAGAGCAGGTTTTGGCCTACTATACCACGCTGGCCAGACGGGTTGGTATACCAGTATGGCCAGCGTCTGGCAGCCCTATAGGGTTTGTGTCAAGTTTTCCTTCGCTTTGCAGTGCTGTTGTCCTGCGTAGTTTGCTTCCTTGGTCGGCTCTTACAACACTGACTGGATGGATAGAGGTGGTGACACTCCGCATTCTTAATCCATCAGCACACGGAACTATTTCTAACTAACTCATTTGTTACAAACAAAACCCCAAAACATTATAAAAATGCGAATGTTGACAAAACTATGTAAATTTATCCTAATTAAAAAAATCAATAAGAGAGAAAAAAACCGCCAGAAGCCAGAACTAGAATACATTTCAAAGTCGAAAAAAGAAGTTATGTGCAAAGTGAATTTGAGTGTGTATCTGATAAGGTGTATCTGTTATCAATAACTTATCAATTACCTATCACTGATAAGGTAGCAATGGCATAAATAAGCATTCATTGCAGTTATTTAGTTTAGCGGTTGAAAAGGATAATTACGAACAAAGAGGGAATATAGGTATTTAATGTGTTTTATTAAAGAAAGCTAAAGATTTTGTCTGTTTATTTGGGCGCTCCAATCTGAAGTTTCCGTTTAGATCTCTTTCCATTAGTTGAATTAACTAATCTCGACTGCTATGTTTATCTAGTGATCAAAGATCCCAGAAATTAATAATCATAATAAGGGCCTGATGCAGAAAGTGGTTCTCGATACGGCACGTATTGTGAGGAGGTTTCTGTCTCTGGAGTAGTAACCACCGGTATCTTGGTCCCTGTACCCGATAGTGACGGGACACATTTTTTTTTATAATTTTATATGCATTTCCTCGTATGGAAAGCTTCTCCAATTTAGCCAGAAAGATGGGGACAGAGACCGTGTCTAATGCTTTAGAAACCTCTAGAAATATACATATAATCCAGTACGGCATCTTTGATAGAGAAACCTGAGCAAAAACCGTATTGATTATCACCACTCAAGGCATTTTTAGAAAAAATTAAAATACTATTAAATTTCTCTAAAATGCCTTCAGTGCACGGTTTAGTACTTTCTCTAGAACTTTCCAGATGCAGGATAGCCCTATAGCGGATAAGGCGGTAATTGTTGACACAGTCTCTGTGCCCACTCTTGTAAATCGGGTGTATTATCGCTTTTTTAAGCATTTCTGGAAATGTTTCTGTGTTTTGTTTAAAATATGACGAATTTGTTTTATTATTTGTGATGGGATGCCATCCCAGCCTGAGGCACAGTCAGTGCGGAGTTGCAATATTATGGATTCGACGGCAAAGTCGTCTACTTCCTTAAAACCGATTGAGTTGACAGGGTTGCTTGCCACAAGGCATATTATATTTGTAAGTATGTACTAATTTAATACTACTAATAAAAAGTAATAAAAAGGTACCGTTTTCGGAGGCCATATTAATAAAACACGCACTTAAATTGACTTGTTTATTCTTGTATGGTCGCTAGTCTAATGTTTCACTATTATTAACGTTTCACTGTGACATTTTCTATTAATAGTTTCCACAATATTCAAAATAAATATATTAATGAATTTAACAGAACTTCAAACTACTTATCTAAAAAAATGTCTCAAATTACCTTTTTTTTTTAAGACAACTCCCGCATTAGGAATATATCCTGTGTCGCAGGGTACTTTACAAACATACATGAAACGGACACAAAGAACACCCAGACTCAGAACAACAATTTGAGGATCACACAAAGTCTCGTCCCATGCGGGGTTTGGATTTGAACCGACAACACTCGGCGCAGTAGGAAGCGGCGTGGCGACCGCTTAAACCACTACGCCATCCGTGCAGTCGATATAGGCCTTTACACTATTTAATATAAAACAAACCATATTCTTTTGCTAATAAATCGTCCATAAATGACGCTGCAATCACATTTCAATTTAAATCATTTAACACATAAAACTTATTGAATAAATTCTTATAGACTTTTACACTATAGAGACTTCTGAGTTTGAGTAAATATTTTAACAATAACTTAGACATCAAACTGCTTCAAACAATCAAAATGTTACAGATGGTGTCTATAAAATGTTACAGGTTATAAATCTATGATCCTAAATGTTGCAAATATTTTTAATAAAAACAATTCAATATACAAACAAAAATTCGTAAAACTTGGCGCCGATATGTACAAAGCTATCATTTCTAATTAATATGTGGTATCGTAGTCATATTCACCATGGTGATGATGTGGTATAAAGTTAAAAATCATGTAAAAACGGCTTCATAAAAGTATTAGGATCATCATCTTTCTACGCTTTTTCCTAATATTTTTGGGGTCGGTGCAATGAACTTTCTTCTTCCATTATCTTCTATCACTCCAACATTTCATTGAATAGTTTGGCTTTTTCTTTAATGGGCAGTTACCTGCTTGACGCCATCCTTCCATGGGAAAGTAACGTTCTTTATACATGGTAGTTGGGAATTACAAACACCCAGGATTTGTCCAAGATTCTAACCAAACAGCTTCACAGTCCTTAACGGCAAGGTAGCCATTATTACATAACTAGTGGTCGCGCAGTAGACGGAATTCGACCATAACTCATTAAATTTAAATTTGAACTTTATTAGGGTTCTTTTATCAAAGACTTATACCTCTATAATATCAAAGGTTCCATCATAATAAGTCTATTATAAAATTAATTTACAGTTTGACCATAGATTTAGCCATGAACTAAAAAGTAAGTATGGTATGTATGCGGGTGTAATGTCTCATTCCAGTAGTAGTGTGTGTAATGTTTATTTTAATTTATTATATAAAAAAATAGCTTTATGCACTTCTTCTAGATAAAAACGTTAACTGTGTCAAAGAGCCCACTGGCCATAGACACTTCGGCACTGGGTGCACACATATAAAAGCATATGGAAATGATGGTTAAGGAATTGGAATAAAAAAAACTTGGTATTTTTAAGATTTAAAATGGTTTACAAATATAGTTTTTAAGCACGAGTGGCACACACCGCATTTATTAATCCTCAAAATACCGAGTATGTAAAACGCACTGTTTGCAACTAGGTTTTGAGATTCTACTCTATTTCACTTATTCACGAAGTTTTCTTCAACGTTTTTTATTGAGCCCGTGGATATCTTAGAGTCTTAGACTATAATCAGGGCAGGACTAATCACTGAACAACAGTGAATTTATCAACCACTTAAACAGTGAGTAGCCAGAACAAGTATACGTTACTGACTCATTTATCACTTGACACAAAAGAACTTTACAAAAAAACCTAACTAATACGAATTACCTTTTTTATGGTAAAGGGGAGGTCACCTGATGATTAGGGACTACCTGGACACCTGCAATTCAAGTGTAGCAGAGTGCGGTGTCGCCTCTACTACTACCCACTTACTTGTTAACCAACACAATAGAACGCTCTTAAATAAAAATTGTACGAATTGCCTTAGAACGAGTCGCCAGAATAAGTAGCACTACTCGCTCACATATCAATCGACTATACTCTTATTCCAGCACAAGTTCATTCCACTTTAATAAAAAAGTAATGAATGTAGAATAGGTAGACACTACTTCCTCACTTATCATTCGAAACCAAAGAACACTCTTAAATGTAAATTATAAGAATTGCCTTAACAATCAATCAATCAATCAATGAGTCGTCAGAACTAGTCGACACTACTCACTCACTTATCAATCAACACTAAAAGCGATTTAAAATATAAATTGTAGGTCCACAAAATAATTAAACAACGAGTCGTCCGAATCAGTAGATACTACTCACTTACTTGTTACCTAACATAAAAGAACGCTCTAAAATAAAAATTGCATGAATTGCCCAATAAACAAGCAAGCAATGAGTCCTCAGAGCTAGTGGACACTACTCACTCACTTATCACTCAACACTAAGAA